TATTTGCTTCAAATCTAAAATAACTTATTTTATCATTTAATTCCAAGCAAGGTAATAAAGCCACTAAGACATGGGGAATTAAGTGTGAAAGAATATAAGGAAAACATTGAGAACAATAATAAAACAGGTATAAAGATGGAAAATAATAATTTACTTGTTTTGATCTTGGTATCTCCAATTTGTAATTTGCATGTTGGTCTGTTTTTGCTAATGAGCATGCATTCTTTCTTCTTGCAATTGATGCTTAGTTCTTTCTTCTTGCTTTCCTTTTACTACCTTCTGTAGTTCTTATAATTTCCTTTCTGTGTCTACTATCAATTCTGAAAAATTGCCACTGCTTTTAGTCAAACTAGATGTACTGTAACATTTGATGTCCAGCACATGATTTCAACATACACATATTACAAGTGTTAACATTATCAAGTTTATGATGGCAAAGGAAGAAGTCAGTAAATCAAATTTGACTGATATCATCAGAAGCCACCTAGCCAAACCTTTGACAAAAGCTACAGCATCATCAAGTTTCTGGGATGTCTTGCAGCATGGAAACTTTGGCAGTTTGGTCTATCATTTAATCACCACACTCCATCTTTGACCAGTGTATATCTTCCTTTATGTAGAGTTGTGTGCCCTTTATATCTATAAATAGCCTTTATGTTTACTGTTCTCTTAGTCAACTAATATTTTGCAATAACGATGTTGAACATAGCCAGTTTTCTAACAACTCAATGGTACTTCTATGCAGATTATTACTTAGTTGCAGTGTAATAAACATTTATGGATCTTTTCATAGGCCATGTCCTTTCAAAATGTATACAATTATGGCTTTTCTCTACTGCTGATTTTATTTTGTTGCTTGAAGTAACTTTATGGCCCTCCCTTACTATCCCTCTTTGTCTAGATTCTGAAATCCATTCAAACTTCTGTAGATCACTCACTGTTTCTCTCTGCACCTTTTATTTTCACTGTCTTGTGAGTGTTAAATTTTCTAAGCCTCTTTTCCTCATTGTGTCCCAATGTGTATCAAATGTTCAAGAATAAATATTTCCTTTGTCGTAGGAACTGAACTCCTGACACTGCCTTCTGTGATACAAAATTGTCTGTGTTACAGTCGTGGCAACTTTCTCATTTTCTTTTACCCACTAATCATTGCAAGAAGTCATCTTGAATGTTAATTTCGCATTTGTGTAAAAGTAAAAAAATGTTGTAAAAATCAGACAAAAAGATCTTTTTTTTTTTTTTTTTTTTTTTTTTTTTTTTTCATTTACTGCATCAAAACAGCATATTTTTTTTGGTTTTTAAAAGATAAATCACTTTATTTTAAGTCAATTTTTTTTTTAACTTGCAACACCCTCCCCCACCCAGAGACATATTGAATTGTATTTTCATTCCCCACCTTTAACAGGAACAAATTGTTTTTTTTCTTTACCATCTCAAAGGAAACAATGCCAAAAAAACAGCAAATGGTTAAATCATTAGTAAAAAAAAAAAACCAAAAAAAACAGTAAATTAGTAAAAAAAAAAAAATTGAATGACTTTTTTTTTCTATCCACACAGATTTTTTAAATGTCTGAAATTTTTTTTTAACACATCAGAGCTTAACAAAAAGCAATTTAAGATGCAACATGGACAAAGCATCATCTGCCAATGCCAAAATTGTTTGATTGATACTGAAAAAACTTCTAAATTTCTTCTCAAATCAAACTTGTGACCCAGTAAACATTGTTCTTTTGACTAAACCTTGTGGAATCATATGAAGTCTTTTTTTTTTTTTTTTTTTTTTTTTTTTTGCAGAAAACAAATTTTCAATGTGTTAAGGAAATTATAAATCATGACTATTCAGAAAATGACATTCATATAACTTTCTTTTGTCACTGTGATTTGACTACAATTAAAATGTTGCCACACTTAAATTTGGGATCAGTCAAAAATCTGAAACTGACATCACCCTTACATCTGATCAGTACTTGGCTGAGTAACTATTTTATAAACGTGATCAGTACTTGGCTGAGTAACTATTTTATAAACCCAGGTTCTGTACACAAAGTAAATATTTATAACAATATCTATTTAACATTGTTTAGTATTTTCCAATGTTAATTTAATATTGAAAGATTTCTTTATATTTGGAAATAACTTTCAATGTAATTTATATAATCATCTTTAAATTTAAATTCCCAGTGTCAATCCTTCATGCAGATTTGGCATAAATTCATTCCAGTGGGGTCCTAAAGGACAATGTGCCACATGAAAACTTTTCCTCTTTGTCATACATCTTTCTCCTAAAATTATCTGTATATAATGGGCAATTCAGTAACAAGATGGGGGTGGGACATCTATTTTGTACTTCAAAAGGACTTCTTCACACTACACTAAATGCACAACCTACATGACCCCATTCAGCTTTCTATTGCCTTTGTTTAAACACATCAATTGACTGAAATTTAAATCTAGTTTTAGCATCCTTTTAGAATCTTCAATATTTCTCATGATATATAATTACAACCAACATTTGTTGTATTTTGTTTCCTCCTCCTCACACACATATATATATAAACTGATACAATGATACTGACATAAGGAAAATCTAGACATCCCTTGTTCAATTTAAGTAGAATATTCTGTAACCATGGAAACGTGATTTTAGCTGTCTTTAAAACCCGGTAATTTTTAAGTTACTCCAAAATTCGCTTGAAGATGAAATGGAACTAATGCTTTTAATTTAATTGCAAAATTAAATTTGGGGTTTTTAGCTTCTATTTTTGAAACATGGTTGGAACTGTGTAGGGAAAAAAACCATATTTTAAATCAATTAATTTATAATATTAATGCTCTGTAAATTTACATTGAGCACTATTTTGTAAAAATATCTATAAGAACACAAGATTTTATATCTTACTGTTCTTTCTTTTTTATATATATATATATATATATTTATATATATATATGATTCTATTAACAAACATCTAATCTGAAGCACTTTCAAAGGACAAACACATCATATAGGACTTCTCATTTTGTCATGAGACAGTTTGTCATTCTCTCTTGTGTGTGTGTGTATATATATATATATATATATATATATATACACACACACACGAGAGAGGACAGTTTACCTCCAAATTGATTCATCCTAGCCAATTTCAAAAAGTGCTCAATAACTATGCTGAGGAATAATACCCAGAAAAATATAATTACCTCACAATTCAGTTTTATCCTTCTGACATTCAGTCTTCATCTATTAATCTGCAGTTGGATTTTTTTTATATACATGTTTTCCCCACTTAAACCTGCCCTATAGTACAACCATTAGTATTTTAGTCCACACACAGGGGTTTTTTTCTTTGCCTATTTTCTTTTTCCCCGATTCTCTAGGGTGAATTATGGTCATGGGTTATATAAAGCTTGTCTATCCCTCCTTTCATTTGAATTCAAGTCATCTTCACATGAAGCTAGTTACGACTAAGACAATTCTTTCATAGGAATTAATGTTGTTAAACATTCTTTGCTCTACTATCTAGATTTCAAGCATTTTACTAAGTTTGCCTTTAAGCCTTTTTTTCTTTTTTCAGTACTGTTGTTTTTTTATTTGAACTTTATCTGGATAGGTTTTAGGGCGTGGCAAGTTGTTTTTTGGTTCCAACAATGATTTTTGTTTGTTTTTATTTATTTTATTCCACACTTAGTTTCACAAAGGAGTTGTTAGATGGCTCCCACTCACTCACTCACTCACTCACACACACATTATTATATATATATATATATATATATATATGGCCTGAAGATTGCATGAAACACCTATCACTGCTTGGTGTAAATGAACTGTTTTTATCATATAGATTTGGGGATATTCTCTTGTCTTCAAATGTCAGTAATGGCAAGATATAAATATAGGCAAATGTTAATCTAATTGAGTTTGCATATTTAGTTTAGTCCAAGTTTTAAACATAAGTGTAAAGTAATAATGAATACCAATCACTTGCTCTTTCTAAGCAGAGAGGGAGATTGAAATATATTTTTAGTGAGAAACTTTGGTTTTTGGGGGTTTCTTTGCCATTGAGTGACAGCAGGAAAGTAAATTTAAAAAACCTAATTTCTATAGAAGAAATCCTCTTTTTTTTTTACCATAGTTTTATTTTTTAATATTTATTTCCTTTTAAAATTAAAATTTCGAGACTAATAGTATGACTAAGTACTAAACGCCTATAAAGAATATGGAATGACTTGCAATAAATAAATCCCTAGTTATCTCCCTTAGATTACAAATTAAGCTTTAAAGGTAATTACTAGTTACCTCCCTTAGATTTGTTTTATGTAATGAACTGAAAGTAAATTGTTTGCCCTGGAACGTTCATGAGACATCTTTATCAAACTGTTATTGTACTTAATTTTTAAAACTGAAATTAGTGAAATGTTTGCATTGGAGGCAAATAGTAAAAATTTTTTTTTTTTTTTTTTTTTGCATAACGAGGTAAAACGAACAGCAACCAAACATATGATCAAAGCATAAAATTTCACACATCTGTTTTGCACATCACCACACAATCAGGTGAACCCTGTTGATAAACTGGGTATAACTGAAGATAATTAGGCTGAACACATTAACTCCCCCACTTACTCTGAGGCTAATATTAACAGTAAGTATTTAGTGGTGGGGGAGAGGGAGAACCTCTACCACCCTTGCACTTTTTATTCTTTTGTTCTATTCCGGCATAGCAGAGCATGCATTATGTTGAGTTTAAAAAAAAAAATGTTCCCCCCCGCTAGGCTGTAACATTGCACAAGGTTTAATTGACAATTATTTTTCTGCTGACTTCTGTTACAGTAAATATCACGTTTTTACTTGTCATTGTAAGCCTTTGGAATTGGAATTGTCGGCAATTCTTTTATCATAATTTACAGGCTGAGGAACATAATGGAGATGAGAAGGGGAAAAATTGAGTGGTGGAGACACCAGAAATTTGGCAATAAATTGTCAATTTTTTTTTTTTTTTTTTATTTTAGGGGTCAATATGCTTTTCTCCAACACCTTGGCCATCTACCTCCATGAAGACTTTATTTTGTCCATTGTGTTTGATGCAATTGGTAAGAGTGAGCATAACTTGAGTCACTCGACGGTCAAGAGCTCGCAAGTGGAGTGTGGTTAGGACGGGGGAAATGGGATCAAACGACAAAATAGATTCCAGGACTTTTGACAGGACACCATTTCGTAACAGCCTTAAACGTTCAAATGTTGCCCATCGGATTCTGAAAGACAAGAAAAAAAAAACATTAAAATTAAACAAATTTATTTTCACTTGGAAGTCTAATTTTAAAGTTTCTTTAAATAAAACTGTACATGTTATCAATTTCAACTAGAAAAAATACAAAAAAAAAAAAAAAAAAAAAAACCTTTGCAAACTTAATTTTTCGAAATTCTTGAAAAACCTTAACTTACATGCAACACTGATAAAGTGGCGCAAGTATGGAACGTTCATCATGGTAAGGATTGCCGAAGCTGTAAAGAAAAAGTGAAAGAATATTAAACTTACTTTTTATAAACTTATTTATATACTAGCTTCTTAAAATAAATAAATACTGGGATTATTTATATATGAAACTGCATTCTGTGAAAAATGCTACCCTCCCTTCTACCACTACCAAGTTCTTTGCCAATCAAACAATCAATTCTGTTTGGTCAGATTTTGGAATGCGATTGGGACCAAGAACTTTTCACCATACAATCAGATATATGAAACTAAGAAAAAAAAATGTTGTTAAAGTATCTATATGGATCACAAGGTCAGGTACTTTGTTTATTGTATTAATGGTTATTGGGTAACTAGCAACAGTTCAATTTAATAATGAGTTGCAGATTTGAATCAACCCACAACAAAAAGAGCCAAAAGATTTTTAAATATAATTTTTCTTAGCATGTACAAGAATTTAAATCCTTTAATTCCTTGTTTGTAGCTGTTTGTCAGTATTTTAGGTATGTGTAAGAAAAAGAGTCAAGGGAGAAAGGTCACATGGCATAGTTGGGTAGACAAGTGAATGGCTCTCTAAACTTTGCTTAAATATTCTTGAAAGGGATTATAAAGTTGTTTTTGATTTTTTTTTTTTTTTTTTTTTTTTTTTTTTTTTTTTTTGTGTCAATGGAAACACCACCTGTTGGATGAAATGTTCAATATCTATTTTGAAAGAATTAATTTATCAAGTGGAAGGATGTGAAATCCTCCCACTTGGAAACCATTTATTTGTCATTTGATGTTTGACTGTTTTGTTTATTTCTGTCTTTGATCCAAAATTGCAAAAGCTAATAAGCAGACTGTAGCTATTATATAAACCTTTTAATATATTTAAATATTTGCAATTGTTAGATCTAAAATTGTTGTAAAAGTTAAGTAGAAATAAATCACAATGCAGTTATTTGTTGCTATTGTATTGGGTTGCTTAACTTTTAACTCCTCATTTAATATTGATTACTGACAGTATTTTGTATGTATTCATTACATATTGTTTATTATTAAATTGTGTTTAGACATGCATTCATAGTTTTGTAATTTACCTAATTTATTTATCTTGTGAGGGTTATCTTATTTCTGTAGTTTAAAATATTGGATTTTTAAAATATATGTTGCTTGTATATATTTGCTTTTTTTTCTAGTTGGTTTTACAAGGAATTTGCTGTTAGTTTCTGATTTTTAAGCAACATAGTAAAATTTGTTTTCATGTCTGCATTTTGAGATATATTTTTTGTTTTAATAACTTTCGTTGGTCTTTCTCCTCCAGTTTAAACTTTATTGATTTAATTGTAGGCTGTTATTTTTTCTTATTTTCCATATTTTTTAAACTTGGTTTTTTGCTTAAATTTCCCACATATGCTTACAAAGGGTTGTGCTGTTCCAGTATTTACTACTGGATGTTTTTTTTTTTTTTCTTTATACAGTAAATAATGTATATATTTACAAGCAATTGCCATTTAAGGGACATTCATGCTTTGCTGTGGAGTTGTTTGTGCAGGTTATTTATTAGTTATTAAAAAAAAAAATAAATAAATAAAACTCCTTCACAAATATCCCCTGCCCATCAAGCACTTTCCACAATATCTTATACAGGAACACTGTATGTATATATATGTGTGTATATATATATATATATATATATATATATATATATATATATAACAGTTTGTATACCTTCAAAACCCTAGATGATCAAGACTTGGCAGCTGATCTGTTCCCTGACCTAGCTCTAACAGCTCAGGTGTGGGAGGTGAAGTGGCTGGTGACATTCCACCATTATTGATCAGATCCAGAAACTTTCACCAACTATGATGAACAAATGTTATATCTGAGAGACCCTGTGTCTTGAGTGCAACCCAGACTACATAAGCAGAATCTTGATACTATAAAAGTGGCTGTGCATTCTTGTGGGTGACTAATTATTTTCCACCCTACAACCCCTTTCCTCACAGACGAAAGGTCGCAAGCCTCTCTTTTCTGCTATTTATTTTCATGAAAAATTCTCAGATAAATTAAAGTCCTTAGCCATGAAGGTTAGTTCTTTTGGGACTAAGACCTGCCATGCCACACACATTGTAGCAAACCACCCTCATTCCCTTCGAATGTCACTGGTGTAATGTAAGTTGCACTTGAGTAGCTTCTCACAAACCACTACCTTGTGGAACCAACTCCTAAGAGGTTACTTCCCTGATCACTACAATCTTACCTTATCCCTTGCCTTGAATAGGTCATCTTCCACACACATCTGCATAAGCTGTGCATTGGAGTTTGTAACCTTTTACCATGATTAACCCTTGGGCTTTGTACACAGTGAACATCATTAAAAAAAATTAAAAAAAACTTGTGCATAAACCAATTTCATGTATAGTGTAACTGAATTGTTGATTTTATTAATTTTTTTTTTTTTCTTTTTTGCTTGTGTAAAATGTGATTCCCCCCCCCCACCTTCTGAGCCCCCTACTGGATATCTTTTATAGCAAATAAATGGTTTTCATTTTTTGTATAAAACGGTTAGAAAAAACATGCCCCATAAAATATCTGATGCAAAGATTTACATACCTCACTTTTGTTTTTGTTCATACATGATTTTTAACATGTTCAAATAAATTATCTATGTATAGTGCGACCCCCCCCCATTGTTTTGCTTTATAAAATTGATGATACAACTTCTCACTATACTAGAGTATATACCGTAATACAATATGGATTTTTATCAGTTTTTATATAAGCTGGTTGCTTGTATCTGAATATGCCTATCTGCTAGGAAAGCTAGCCAATCCCTATTGCAGACGCCTGCTCAGGTATATGCATGTATTCCAAATGTAGTTTTTATATCTTTGTCTAACCAGTAAAGGGAATATGTATGTTACTATTAGAGATTATACATATAATTTTATATTGCCTCAGTGGCAGAATTGATAAAAAAATATGACCAACCTTTTTCCATTGTCAAGCATGATGAGCATACTATCAGGTAAATACTGAAATATTTCATAATGATGCCTGTCTGCATTTCCTATAAGATAATCAAATATGGCTGTATCAATTATGTCCAACAAACGGACACCAGGTCCCTTGTACATATCAATTTGGAGCACTTTATCACAAAATTTTTCATCAACCTCCCACCTAAAAAAGAAAAATTAAAAGAAAAAAAAAAAAAAAATTTTAACATTTCAAAGATTTGAATATTGCAAATAACTTGTGTTGATTAAAATTTAATACAGGGTGTAACAGAAAGACCTTCCACCTAATGGTAAAACGATAGCTAGATAATGATGAAATAGCCACTAATGTCATGGTATTTCTGCTGCAACCTGTTTTTACAGAAAGGTTTCTTTTTTTTTTTTTTATCTTTCATTGAAAAAAAATTAAAATTTTATTTTAGTAGTATTTCTATCTGTTGCTTCTCATCCCAACTACTTGGACGATTTTTCTTCAGCTGTTAGTAAAATGTTTGTTGTAATGTACAGCAAGAGTGTGTTGAGGTTTGGGGAGAGGGGGGGGACACTTGACCCTTTAGTTGGGTGGGAGAGCAATTGCTTAATATACAGAGAGGGGAAAAGAGATGAGAGGTAACAAAAAAATAACACTGCTTCAGAAATCACAGCAACTTTAGTAACAAAATGCCCATGGGACCAACTTCACAAAACAGTGTCGATCAAATTGCTGGTTTTTTCATTGCTTTTATTAGCATGAGGCATCTTACAAAGACCTAGATCTTGAGAGGCCCATATGTAGACATGTCAAGTTGTCCTGCTGCTAATGGCAGGGGGGAAACTGGATGCAACTGGTTTTGTCAAAAACGTGTCTGCATGCGATCCAAGACCTCTTTTGCATCTGTACTGACACAGTCTCAGTTCAACAACAAACTGATGAATGTCTTCACAGCACTTGTAGATCAACTCTAACTATACAGGCCTACTTTTTGTTTCATTGAGAATGCATGCTCTGGTGCCATCATCTTTTAAATTATTTTAAAGACAGTAATATTTTGAATGTTATGAAATGAATCATTTGTCGAAGAAAAACAAAATAACGGCTCAAGTGAGTCCATGGATGTGAATTTTTTATTTAATTTTTCTTGAAAAACTTTACAGAAGAGATTTAAATCATATCAGTATTTTATAAGTTTTTTTTTTTTTTTAAATACTTTTAAAAACATCCATCATCATAACCAGAATATATAACGTTTTTGGTGTCGCCTACAAGAATACTTTCCAAAGATTTAAAATTTATTTTTAATCTGACATGTTTATTACTTCAAACGTTATTATAGTGGACAATAGACATAATACATGGGACATCTATTGGCCTGTGTATTAAAGTATTTCTTAGTAAAGAAAAATGCATTCCCCCAGCAGGGACTGAACTTGTCCCATTTGTAGGGGAGATACTGGTTCATTCCCTGCTAGAGAATGCATTTCCCTCACTCCTCCCGACTTTTCTCTTTCACTACCTGTATCCCTCTGCATGCGCACCTTGCTTGGGTTGAAATGATTTTTTTTCTATTACAATAGTTTTCATGTAGAATACAAAAGAACCATTAGGGTAAGAGCCTCTGGATAGTGCATCTATTCTAGTGTGGTGGAAGTGAATTGTTTTGCTTGTTCTCTCCCTTGGCCCGGAAGAGTTGTCTGTTTGGGAGGAAACCATGACTGATTAGCACAGATGTCACTACTGACATAGTTGTTGCACTTGACTAATTTGCAAGTGTTAGATAATGGTTTGAATGCAAGTAGAATTGTTATTCCAGTCTTTTCTGTATTAATTTTTGGGGCAAGGTGTTATCATGTGAACTATTGTTCCTATCTTTGTTACTACAGTGTTTCAATTTTTGTCCCACTCCTGCCTTCATCAGGTACTTGTTGTTCTAGGTAATCTTCAAGGAATTTCAAACTAACCCTCTTATCTACGAGTAATGTTTTTGTTCTGTCAGCATCTAGGAATATTTTGCTTAGTTCAATGTAATAGCAATCAGTTACTGTTCGCCCCCCCCCATTTTCAACTAAGTTCAACTACACACTACTGTACCCTCGTCCTGAGTATGACGATAAACTACATCCGCATCCAGGGTAAGACGATAAACCATATTCAACAGCAAGGCCTCTGATCAGGAGGTTTTGAGGAGTGGAACTACCTCTTAATTACTGATGTTCCCAGGTTCACTCTGACCGGGGGTGGTAGTACCTGTTAGGGTCCCAGCTATGGGCAAATAGTTAACCTTGAAATTGAGGTAAAAAGCATTATAAAAGTGTAAAAATAGTTTTTAGTACGAGAAATACTTTGTAAAAAATTATTACCAGAAATAAATTTTTCAAGGAAAAAAAAAAAAAAAAACTGTTACCAGCAATATATTTTTGAAAAAAAATATTACCAGCAATACGTTTTTGAAAAAAAAATATTACCAGGAAAAAAAAGTTGTCGGCATTAAATAACCCATTGCGGTTGATATGCCGTAAAACAAACCAAACCAAACACTACCGTGTCCGTTATTTTTTTTTCCTTCTCACTAACGGTCGTATAATGACTGTTTGGGTAGCTGATATGAAAAGCAACAAGAATTATGAAAATATAGCGAAAAGAAAGTTAAGGGAAGTAACTCTGGTGTAAAAATGGCAAGTGGAGACAACTTTCTAAAATAAAAAAAAAATCAACTAACTTAGCTTTTTTATTTTGAACATATGTCCGACTCCACGGATGACGGAAGAGTTGCATTTTGTGTGAGATCCATAGCACCACTGTTCCCTCCATCATGTGTTTCTTGCCACAGGCACCACTTTCTTTACCTTTGCAGTAGTAACATTTACCATAGAAGCAAGTGTTGTTATCTAAAACAAAAAATACATCGAATAATGAAAGATTGTTTTTTTTTTTTTAAAAAAAAACAAGGACACCAAATTCACACGTTTTGAATAAAACGAATTATAAGAAAAATACATCTTAACAAGCCGTTAAGAAACGATCATTATGATTGGTTTAGGTCGCAGTGTCTGTTTAGGGGTGAATTAACAGAAAGGATCCTTATTCATAACTATTTTGATATGTCTTAGTATTTCTGAAGGGAATTTCTGACCACCAGTGTTTCTGTTGATAATAAAAATATTAAATTTGTTGCAGTACAACCTTTTTGTGTGCCATGTCCCTTCAGTGTGTAGGCGATCAGGGCTCTACACTATTTATTTTTGTTATAGAAATTTTTCTGTTATCCTGTGAGTATCAGATTTTCCAAGCACTCTTTCCTCATTATGACCCAGAAATTTCAACTCTCTTCTTTATGTTGAGTATAAGTTTTCTTTTTATTTCTATATTCTCTAAATCAGTCCATGGTATCCTCAAGCATCCTTCTGTAGAACTACATTTCTGTTGCTTCTAATTTCTGTTGCTTAAAGTTTGACTAAAAGCAGTGGCAACAATATTTTGCCTATGCAAATGACGTGTAAGAAAATGGAAAACAATTTTTCATATTTTCGTTTTCATATTATAGAGAAAAATGCGGAAACCTTCATTACAAGTTATGAATCATGTGGGCGATACTTGTGTGTGTGTGTGTGTGCATAGGAAAAAAAATTGCAGTTACTAAGGGTTACCCATGCTCGAGAATAAGGTCCCTTAGATGTTGTCACTACCGCACATTCGGCAGTTTTTATAAATGCTTGACACATTAGATATTAATTTGAAAGTAACTGCTACTGATATTTTATTATAAATTAAATATTTTGTACATTTGGTTCGGTATGTGCAAAGTGTTCAAATACATCAGTTAATCTATTTAATGTCACTGTGGATGACTACAACAGAAACAAACACAAACAATTTCAATAAATTAAATATCTACTTCAGCCAATAAATCTTGTAAGAGATGAAAAAAGTTCAAATAATGCCAAACCAGAATTTGTTTTAAAAATTAAATATTAATTATATAGGTTTATAGTCATGACAAATTAAACTGTAGGGAGAAGGTGTGTGTGTGTGTGTGTGTTGCTCCCTACGTATTTATGAGAAATGAAACAAAATCATTGAACAACAAGAGAATAATATTCAAACAAGAGTTTATGCACAACAATATTTATACAACAATAAGGTACGAACATTTGTTGAATAGGTAATTTAAATTTTTCAAATGTTTTAATGTTTGGATTGACTGTTTTGGTTTTCAAAATTTTATATTCTTGAAATATACTTCCTCCTTTTACAATATAATGGTGTTTGTCAAATTTAAACAGTTCAAGTTTAAGAAATGTGTGTGAATGTTGTTAACTGGCTTTGTGTCTTACGAAGTTGTCTTCCTTTGATTAGTTATTTGTTTTGCTTGAAAAGGTATGAATCCTCTTGTCCCCCCCCCCCCAAGCTATGGGTAAATAAGACAGACCAGGTTCCATAGCTTTGGATGGCAACTGGTCTACTGCAGAAAAAAAAATGGCAACATACTGTAGGGGGGGGACTGCCTTGTCAGTCATGCATCAAAAGATACATGATTGCCGAAGTGTGTATCACGCATGGCACATAACTGACTATCATAAAGTAGTTTGCTTGAGTTGAAAAATATATTGCAGACTGGGTTTGATGCTAAAAGAAATTTTAGTGTTTAGTCTGAATATGAAAAATGATGACACATGTGGTCAAGCCTTTGGTTGGAACTTGCCCACCTCACTCGGCTGCTATCATGTGGTAGACTCCAGATTTGTTGGCACAAATGTATTTTCACTCAGGTCACAAAGTAGGTCAGTACAATCCGGATGTAGTTGAAAACATGTAATTTAAATTAAAGTTTTTATAATTTCTAGCCAATCAGAATGCATTGTTGCATGATTTAGTTTGGAGCCTGTTTTAAGGGGGGGGTCTTACTAACAATATAGGATCTTGATCCTGTAAATCCTCCAAAATATGACAGTGTGATTGAATGAGTTGAACAAGTGGGAGTGTTCTGAATATAGAATGATTATCAAAAACAGTGATTTTTGGCTGATGTCTATATCCCATCACCCGCCTTTAATATGACAATTATTCAATGCAGTGAGTTGACAGTTTCATGGATCATGTGCATTGACAAGAAAGAAGACTATTGAAAAATAAATGCATTTGGTCTTTGTCATTAGGCTACAATCTCGATGGTGAACCCTCCTTACTAACATAGTTTAATTTAATATTAATAATTTTAAAATATTTTAAGTTATATTTCATGATTTTTTTTTTTTTTATTCCAGGCCAAGTGATAGGCCTTCAATTCTGGCCGTGAGTTGCACTATCAAGTTTTGTGGAAGCAAGGATTTTTACTTGCAATTTGGGTTTGCTGCAGTTGGATTAAGAGACACATATATATATATATATATATATATATATTTATATATATATATAACTTAATTAAAATGTTTTGATTCAAAAAACTTTTTTTTTTTTTTGTGCTAAATTCATTACAAAAGTTACTTGGAAGTTAATTTAACATTTTTTTTCAATTAAAGTTAATATTCTTCTCAGGAATTTTTATTCATAAAAGCATATGCACTAATTATCAAATTTATTTTGTGTAATCTGTAAAGTTTTAACAAAAGAAAAATGTATGTTGAATTTTTACTACACTTCTTATATGGAAGACTTTAATTTTACTTGATTTAAAGAAATAATTTCTTAATCTAATTTTTCTAGTCTTTCTTATTGCAGTCTTTTCCAAGAAAGTGTATTTTAATGTTTAATTTGGAACATTTCTTCCAAAGACTTCTGTTTCTGTTTTGTTACCCATAAAAATTTATTTAAAAATGCTATTATTTATGTAAAGTTAATTTAATATTTTTGTCTGAATCAAAAATATATTCATAAAACTTTACTTTTGATGAGTAATTTTTCTTTCAAAATAAAATGTATGCTGAATTTACTCATTTTAATGATGAAAAAAAAAAAAAAACAACTTTTATATTACAAATGAGAAATCATTTAACATTATGTAAAGTTAATTTCATAATTAAATTCAATAAATCCAATATTGTAAATGAGGTGTAAAATATTAACAGTAACCCTACTAAATTAGGCATTTTTAGTGATTGCTTATTTTATTTTTTGTTTGTTTTTATTGGAGAAGTAGTAAAAAAAAAAAAAAAAATGCATAATTTTGAAAGAATAAGTCATCAATAACACAAAATTGTTCAGGATTCATGGTACTGATATTTGTTTCATTTAAACTGTTTTAATGTGAGAAATGGTTTCTGAGACTAAAAATACATATAGCATTACTTCTACCCTGGTTAGTGAGGTAGAAAGTGATGGATCCAAAGCTCTGCCAAATTATTTTACTATTTTTTTTTTTTTTTTTTTTTTTTTCTTTTTATAAAGAGGCATAGCTTTTGAGGCAAATTAATTATGCTTCCCCCCCTCCTTTGTTTTTTTACTTTCCTGTCTATGACTTGAGAACTACTGCAAACCCAAACTGAAACTAAAAGTCCTTGCTCCCAGTGGGACAAAACTTGAAAAAGCTACTTTGGCGCTTATCTACAAAGAAGAAATATGTACACTGCAAAAAATTTATTTTGGAATGATATATATATATCGAAATAAATTTAATATTATCGAAATAAAATTTAATATTACAAGACATATTAAAAGTATTAAAAATAAAAAAAAAAAACTCAACAACAAGGGGGAAGCAACCGGTTTTTCGTCAAACTTCCACGGGAGATTGAAAAACATTTGTTTTAATTTTCAATCTCCGTGAAGCCTGACGAACTGGATAAAACCGGCTGCTTCCCCCTTGTTGTTGAGTTTTTTTTATTATTTAATACTTTTTAATATGTCTTGTAATATTAAATTTTATACTTTTATTTCAATCATTAAATTTTGTACCTACAAAAATATCTTTAGATATATATATATATCTAAAAACATTAGAAAATTTTTAATAGCATTTTCTTTTTTGTTTATATTCTAGTGATAAACAGCCTGTTCATCAGCTAAAATATCCTACACCATTCATTTGGAATGATGTGTACAGAGTAAAACATGGGGCTATTTTGACTTCTTATCTACAAGGAAAAGTAGCACCTGTTTTAGTATCATTTCAAAAAGAATTTGTACGGTATAGATAATTTTAGCACTCATTTAAAATAGGAGGCTTACAGTTCTGGCTATGAGTTGCCATATAAGTTGTCTAGAAGTAAAAGAACCTTATGAAAGGTAACTTTAATTTTAACTATTGAATATGCATAAAATATTTTATGTTATGCAATTTGATCACATGAAAGAAAAAATTCAAACCTTTCATAAAGAATGTCTCCAGTAATCTTGGGGCAGCATTTGGAATTACTTCTTTTTCTAAATTTAAGTAACGCCCCACAGCAATCGGTGTTTTCCTGAAGCCAAGAATTCTGTAAGAAAGAAAAATAATACAATTTAAGGACTTCACACTCTTAATATATGCAATAATCTTGATTTAATATATATTTTCAGCTGTTTCAAAAAAAAAAAAAAAAAACCAAAAAACATATTTTTTGTTGTTTAATTTGATGGAAAGAAAAAAAGATGAAGGAATGTAATGGTAATATCTTGAATAAACACTTAGACCAAGATAAACAAAAATTATGTAACTGCAGAAATCCTCATCACTGTCATATAAATAATGCATCCTGCATGGAATTATTAGTATACCAATGCAATATCTCGTGTATTGAGGATCCAAACAAGGCAAGAGGTCAAAAAGACTGAATCAACATCAGTTATTTTATGAGGAATAAATGCTAGAATCAGACATGCCGATTGAAATCTTTCCGGCAATTAAAAGAAACCAATAAAACAACTAAAATATATATTCCTCATAAAATAATTTTGAAATAGCTCCCCCCCACATTCAATTTTGTTGTTTTCCTATTTTCTCTCGTCATGTCAATGTTCTTTTCACCCTTATTTTCTACAGAAGCCACAGAACTTGAAAGGGTATAAAAATCCTTCAGTAGAATGCAATTTTAATTTCAGATTAAATAACATAAAAATCAAATAAAAATTCTTCAACTGACCTGCTTAAGTGAAAGGCTGCAATTTCCCCGTTGTGTCTATCTTGTCCAGCATATGGTTGACCAGCAATCACTTGATCTCGCTCAAACCTAAAACACAGATAGAAAATGGAGGGCAAAAATTTTCATAATTTCTCCTTTTTTTTGAATGTTTTTTTCTACACCTTCTTGTACATTCTTTACCCACATACTATTGTCTCTATCTTTGTAGTTTTCATATTTTGGAACTGTTATATTCTGTGCTAAGAGAATAAATACTTAACCCCAGGTGGATAATAGAAGACAGGTTTATTGTACAAATACAGTACAGTTATACACACAGGTCACTCTAGTAGTGAGTACCACTAATTGAAAGGTCGGACATGCTTGCATCTCTCTCTCTCTCTTTTCTTCTGTCTCTCTCTCTCTCTCTTCTTCTGTCTCTCTCTCTCTCTTTTCTTCTCTCTCTCTCTCTCTCTTTTCTTCTGTCTCTCTCTCTCTCTCTTTTCTTCTGTCTCTCTCTCTCTCTCTTTTCTTCTGTCTCTCTCTCTCTCTTTTCTTTCTGTCTCTCTCTCTCTCTTTTCTTCTGTCTCTCTCTCTTTTCTTCTGTCTCTCTCTCTCTCTTTCTTCTGTCTCTCTCTCTCTCTCTCTCTCTTTTCTTCTGTCTCTCATAGACAGTTGACTTTATAGGTACTTACTACCTATAGTGTAATCATTCATAGGGGTGACTGAGTATTCCATTACGAACAGACACATGTGGGATCTTCCACAACAAACCAGCCTTACCTCTTTTTAGGAAATGCACTCTTCCTATCTGGTAAGTAACAGCCTACTTCCATACATTATAACAAGTAGTCATTGGTCAATCACCTCCAATCTTGCTTGCTCAGTTCTGACCAAGCCGCCTGCAAGCAACCAATCTGTTTTTCCCACGTTCTCCGTTTGAGCCTCCCATGTGGTACACAATCATTATATAAACCGAACACGTGTGAACTCTGAGTAGCTTTCTTTTCATTCATCTCTCTCGCACATCTCATACCTTTTACCAAGTGCCAAGATGTAACCTTCACCATCTTCCATCTTAGTCATTGCTGACCAGACGTTAAAAACAATTACCAATATTCACGAACTCTGAAATCACTCCTGAACTTTTATCAACTTTAGAACTCACAATTCCAAACTTTATTCTTCTAAATTACAAGTTCAATATTACTTCTCAATATGAACTCTGGTACAAATATTACCAAGTCAAAGGGACACGACTCTGTCCTATCTTTTCAGTTTGCATGCATGTACATCAAACATTAATAAATTTAATTGCTATGTTTTGGAATCATTCAGTTCAGTTTTGTATTTTATTCTGTGCTATTTACATCAAGTATAAATTGCATTGTGTTCACGCATTGTCCTTAATATCATCTTTCTTAGCCAAAGTTAAATATTGGTAACTCTATATCAACATATATTGATGACCACATCGTTCAACATTCACAACAACAATGGTAATACAGCCATCACATATATTGGTGATTCCGTCGGAATTAAACAACTATGGTAAGATAAACCACTACACACAGACAACTACAATAAATCCTACAGAAGGTTGTGAAGGATAGCCAGAAATATGCATGGTTATTAGCGTAAGAATGAACCCAAAATGCAAATACCAAAATCATACAAATACATGAACTGAAATACCTGGGTAGTGTTTTAACAGAGGACAGAAAGTGCAACACTAAAATCTGAAGGTACATTGGTAGAGCCAAAGATGCAATCCAAAAGCTAACCAAAATACTAATAGAAAAAAAAAATGAGTACTGAACTCTCAAACATGAAGAGACTTGAAACAACAGAAACATGGTTCTACAAAAGGATGCTGAGGATACCATGGACCGAATATGAGCAATGACCATTTTAAATAAAATGGAAACAAAAAGTACACTTTTACTTCTCATCTGGAATAAACTGTTAAAATCTCTGCATAATGGAAAAAGAGAACTTGGAAAATTTGATACTCACACAACAGATTGAAGGCAACAGGGCCAGAGGAAAACAATGTGTAACATAGTGAGCTTGAGTAAATGGATGGTGGAACAAGGTTTAAGAGAAACAAAAAGACAGTTTTTTCAAGTCCTACAAAGGACAGTCAATCATGGCTTTCCACAACTGCCCATGTTCTGGAGGAACATGCCAATTTAAGTATCTTACAGGGAATTTCAAATAGAACTTAATCTACATTCAACAGACCAGGTCTAGGGAAGAAATGTTCTCTCAAAATGTTGGTAATCTCTACAGATCAAGTAATAGGGAACTTACTCCCATAAACAAACACAACAGTTGTTAGCTGATAAAAATCATTGTTCTTGTACTAAAATATATATCTAAATATTGCTCTATATTCAAATACTGAGCACTGAAATCTTCCAGGATGGATAACCAAGTGATAATCCAAAATGATCTTTTAAGACTTGTATCAACTCAAAAAAAATTGAAAGATCTGATACCAAACATTTCTTCCTTCTTGCTTTATTAACTACAAGACAATGTATAGTAGTGAACAACAGACAGACCAAGGTGTAAGCTACATCTTGGAGGAAAAGCAAGCAAGTTTAAAAATTTAACTAACATAATGTGTGATGCATAAGGCGAGTTTTCAAGTGTAAAAAAATCTTTTGGGGTCTTTCTGGTAGCCTACTACAGGTCAACCTATATGCTAAGAATTTTAAGCTAAAGATCTTGAGGTCAACTTGTATGCTGCAATTTACAGCATCTGACCTGTATAGTAGATGATGGCAGAAAGGAAATAGAAAAGAATACCCCAAATATATTCTCAACAGTACCCGATTAGCAGCTTATCACAGACCTGAAATAGCAAAAGATATATTCCAGAAACTAAACAAAGTATAAAGAGATGAGAAAATGTCCTCAAAAACATAGAAGGGTGATGAACTATTAAGTAATGTCTAATCTCTTTACAAATGTTTAAGAGACCTGAAGTGACTTTGTTACAAAAGTCTTGAATGGCTAAGTGTTCTAAAAGCAAACCAGGCTTAAGGCACATTTGCTTTAAGACTCTCAGGCTAGTAGACATAGATTAACACTGTTAAGAAGAACAAGGATATCTACTCAAACATATCTATCCACAAAATAACACTTAAATAAGAAATAATGTTGAATTATAAGTAAAATGAATTACATCTTTAAAAATATATAAAGCAAGTTTTCTTCATTGGACTAAAATGAGATTTACCTTAATGCAACTGCACATGTGCATGAAGGAGAAGTGATACTGAAAAATTTAAAAGTTAAATATGCTTTGAGTATATAGTCAAGACAATTTATTTTATTTTCCTTATCAAATATTCTGCACTGTCATAATAGATCTGAACATTAACATACAACAATGTTCACCATAAAAGATAGTGGATTTATAAGGTTAAATCTCTACAACAAACCCGAAAAGCTGAGCTCCAAAGAAGAAACCTTTAAGAATAAAGTTGATCAACATAAATGGAAATTTATATATATATATATATATATAAAAAAAGCCAGGATGTGTGTGTGTAAGGAATGCACGGCTGCAATTTTCAATGGATTTGCACCAAAATTTACATGCACATGCTCCAACTTAGTGGGAAGGCCAAGACCAACTTTGCATTTCCCAACTCCCATTGATAGTGAAAATAATCAATTTTTTTTCATGCTTCTACAGTAGTTTTCATGTAGTTTGCGGCCATTTTCTACTGGCCAGAGTGAGAGCCTATAGCTGACTGACACGAATGTTAACTAAGATGTTAGCATGCAAAAAAAAAAAATCGATAGCTGCATTCATCACAAGTGGGGAAAAATTTAAATCTGCATTGCACTTTACTCCATTTGGCTCATTCGCTTGCTTAAACTCAACGTTGATTCTGATTCCACAGAACTGGGTTGGATGTGAAAAGTATTTGTTGTTAACATTCTTTTTCATTTGGTTTTTCTAGTTACGAGTCCTTTTTTAAAGTTGATCGTTTTGTGTTCATTTTGTTTAGTTCTTTTTTTTGTAACAGATTTAATGTTTAGTATAGAGCTTAGAAAAAAAAATTTGCAGTGTGAGATAGGCAAGAAGTAAGGCATGTAGCAACATCAGCATGGCAAAGGGTTCTCCTTTAAAGGCAAGAAAGAGCAAAACTATTTTTAGTCAAGTGATAGCTGTCTGAGTCGTACGATTTTTGAATCGAGCACGTGCAACGCTGAGACATGCTGCTAGTGAGCATGTGTGTGTGTATATATATATATATATATATATATATATATATGAGCTTGAGCACTTGTATACATAAGGAGTATACAATGTTGACATTCCACACGACTTCAAATAAAAGGTTAGCAAGGAAACTCCCATCAATACTGATAATACAGTGTAACCCGGATATAAGAGAAACCCGGATATAAGAGACTTCTTCTCCGGTCCCGACAACTCTCTTATATCCGGGTTACACTGTAATTCAACTTAAGAAAGCTATTTTCTTGAAAGATTTTTATAAATATAAACGAAAAGCTGTATTGGCTCATCGATCAAGGAATTCCAAATGTTTCCTTGTAGGGAAATGGTTAATATTACCATTTAAAAGAATTTTATGTCTCAAAAGAAAGTAATAATGATTAGTTTTAAATCGGTGATTCCCAAAGTGGCCAGTGATTGATACATCCAGGGGAGGCGGGTGAGAAAAAAGCGGGCAGCCAGGTCACAGTAGCTCCTCTGAATCATAAGATACAATTCAGGTACAGTGTGTGTGTGTGTGTGTGTGTGTGTGTGTGTGTGTGTGTGTGTATCTTATCTCCTGTTTAGTGTGACCCATTTATATAACAATTATTATGGAAATACTAAGATACTCATTTGATATGCAATACAAGCACCAAGAAAATCTAATTAAATGTTGACTGTATATTTGGTCAACTGACAAAACTGTTGCTGATCATTTTTGAATTCATGAACAAGAAACCAAATCTGATCAATTTTGTCCCAGTGTGAGTCCACTTTGATTTCCTAAATCAAATGTTGGAAGTGGCTATCGTTTCAAGAGATTCTCCTAGTAATTACCTTAATTTCATTTTTACTGATTTTTTAACAGATTAACCCAGAGCCACAGCAAACAAAAAAAAGAAAGTGTTAGCAATATAGTGAGATGTATCTTATATATGGACTTCTACCAGCACCAAATGACCAGCAGAAACCAATGTGCTAACTTTTTCAAAG